GATGGTGTACCAGTCGCTAGGACTGATTGTTTCCATTAATTTTGGTTTTCTTCTTTCTTCTTGACGAGGAGAGACCCGGTGTTGCATCTAGATGGCAGCTTCCTAGCTTTTAAGGTCCCAGTCGCTCTCGCCAAAGTAGTAGGTGGAACAATGTTTTGTATAGTATGTTATAAAATGAAATTCTTGACAACTTCAATCTTTTCTTCATTTATCATGATGTTGTTTATTGGTCCAGTTGTGTGGACTTTTGTGTTTTTTATGTTGAGGTATAATCCATACTGAAGGCTTTCAGTCTTTGATCTTCATCAGTAAGTGCTTCAAATCTTCTTCACTTTCAGCAAGCAAAGTTGTGTCATCTGCATACTGCAGGTAATTAGTCTTCTTTTAATACTGATGCCACATTCTTCTTCATATAGTCCAGCTTCTTGGATTATTTGCTCTATTTATTTAGATATTTAATTTCTTTCAACAATATTTGGAGTTTTCAGAATATAAATTTTGTACTTTTTAAAAATTTATTCCTACATATTCTTTTTGATGCTATTGTAAATGGATGTAAGTGGAATTATTTTCTTAATTTTTGGGGTGTTCATGCAAGTTTACAAAAAATACAACTGATTTCTGTATTTATTTTCATCTTGTCTCCTACAGCCTTGCTGAACTCATTAGTTAAATTTTAATAGTTGTTTAGTGGATTCCTTAGGGTTCTCTCTATAGAAGATCATGTCATATGCAAATATCAGTAGTTTTACTTTTTTTTTCTTTTTCAATCTGGATGCTTTTCTTTCTTTCTTTCTTTTTTTCCTAGGTTCTTTGGCTAGAACCTCCAGTGTGATGTTGAATAGAAGTGGTAAGAGTGTACACCCTAGTCTTATTTCTGATCTTAAGGAAAAGGCATTCAGTTTTTCACTATTAAGTGTGATGTTAGCTGTGGGTTTTTCGTAGATGTCCTTTTTCATTTTGAGGAATTTCCCTTTTGTTTTTTGTTTGTCATGAAGGAATATTAGAGTCATTATCTTTTTGAATATTCCTTCCTTTTTCTTTGTACTTTCTTTCCTGGGACTCTGGTTAAATATGTGTTAGATGTTCTCATTCTGTCCTTTTTAGCTCTTAAATCTCCCTCATTTCTTCCACCTGTTCATCTCTCTATGCTATAGTTTGGGTAGTTTCTTCATATTCCTGTTCCAGTTTATTAATTCTCACTTCAGCTGTGTCTCATCAGCTATGTCTGAGAATTCTATTTGGCACATTGAGGGAATGAATCACTGGATCTATAGGCTCAGAATCATAGTCTCAGGGCACTTCAAGGTTTACATCCTGCTTTGATGAGTAGTGACTGGGGTCTTAAAACCTTCTGAACAGCCATCTAAGGTGTAACTATTGGTCCCTCCCCATCCAGGGCAAAAAAGAGTGAAGAAAATCAAAGATGCATAGAAATAATTAGTCCAAAGGATTAATGGATCATGCAAACCCCAGCCCCCATGACTCTGAGAGTGGAACTATATGGTGCTGGTCTACCACTTCTGACCACTCTTAAAGGGATCACAGTAGGAGAGTGGGAGAAAAATGTGGAACAAAACTCAAAATCATGAAAAAAGACCAGCCTTACTGGCCTGATAGGGTCTAGTGGAATCCCTGAGACTATGGCCATTAGATACCCTTCAAGCCTGGAACTGAACTCACCCCTGTGGCTCAAGTTTCAGCCAAACAATAAACAGACCTATAAAGTGAATGGTAACACCAGTGAGGTATGCACACCATAGAACAATCAACCATATAAGATCAAAAGGGTACCATTTGACCAGGTATAAAGCTCACAAGGCAGGAAGGGATAGGAAAGAAGGACAAATGGAAACAGTTAACACAGGGAGGAAGCAGGAAGAGTACTGTTACACTGTAATGACTGCAATCAATGTCACAAAACAAAATGTGTATGAATTGTGGAATGGAAAACCAATTTGTGCTGTAATTTTATCCAAATCATAATAAAAAGTTATATATTTACATATATAAACCAAAAAACAAACCAAACTCACTGCCATCGATGTGATTCCAACTCATAGCGACCCCTCCTTGGGTTTCTGAGGCGGGTATCACTACGGAAGTAGATTGCCCAGTCTGCCTTCTGAGGAGTGGCTGGTGAGTTTGAACCACCAGCCTTCTGGTTAGCAGACAAATGCCTTAGGCAGTATGCCACCAGAGCTCTTTGTGTGTGTGTGTGTGTATGTGTATAAAGAATTCAAGAATAAATAAATAATAAAAATTCCTTTTGGTTTTCCTTCAAATATGTTGTTTTGTTGTTTTTGATAAAGTCATATATGTTCTTTGATTCTATATTTGTTTAAACTTTTTGTATGTTTTCATAAACTTTTTGGGGGGCTCAAAATCTGTTTCCTCTCTTGCTCAGTTTCTCTCATGGTGGGTTTTATACTTGTGGTTTTCGTTTTTTTTTTTCAGAAACAATTTATTTTGTTGAGAATATGCACAGCAAAACATATACCAATTCAACAATTTCTACATGTCCTGTTTAGTGACACTGATTACATTCTTGAAGTTGTGCAACTATTCTTACCCTCCTTTTCTGAGTTGTTCTTCCCTGACTAACATAAACTCAGTGCCCTCTAAGGTTTCTGTCTAATCTTTCGAGTTGCTGTTGTCAATTGGATCCCATATAGATAGTTCTTAAAGGAGCATGATGCTCAAGGTAGACTTTTTTTTTTTTTTTAATAGTTAAGCTAAACTATTGTTTAGTTTTAAGAAGACTTCAGGGGATATTTTTGGTTTAAGGTTTAAAGGTTATCTCAGTGCTATAGTTTCAATGGATCATCCATCCCCCATGGCTCCAGAAAGTCTTGAGTACATGAGATTTTGAAATTCTGTTCTGCATTTTCCCCCTTTTTATCAGGATTCTTCTATGAAATCTTTGATCAAAATGTTCAGTAATGGTAGCCAGGCACCATCCAGTTCTGGTCTCATGGCAAAGGAGGCACTTACTCATGGAGGCAATTAGCCACACATTCCATACTCTCCTATTCTTGACTCTCCTTCCTCTGTTGTTTCAGGTACGTGGAGATCAATTGTGCCTTGGAAGTGGCTTACAAACTTTTAAGACCCCAGGCACTATGCAACAAATTAGGAGATAGAACAGAAGCACTAAACACAGTATTAGGACAATTAACTAGGCTAGTCCCATGAAATCATGACCCTGAACTTCCAAACCAATGAACCACATTCCGTTATGTGTTTGGTTATACATAAGCAGTCTCAGCAGCTACTCTTTTTTTTTTTTCCATTTTGGTTGTTGTAAATATAGCTATCCCACAACTTTTGCCAATTCAACTTTTTACAGGTATACAACTTATTAACAGTACTTACAACAATTAGATGTGCCTTTAATCAATGTGATTTTTCCATCACCACTAAGCCCTCCTTTTTTCCCTCCCATCCCTGGTAACTACTAATAAACTTCAGTCTCTGTACATTTGCCTTTTCTTATCTTTTTATGTAAGTGAGGTCATACGATATATTTGTCCTTTTGTGATTGACTTATTTCATTCAGCATAATGTCTTCAAGCTCCATCCATATTGTAGCATGTATCAAGACTTCATTTCTCTTACTGGTTGAATAGCATTCCATTGTATATATGTACCACATTTTGTTTATCCTTTCATCTGCTGATGGGCATTTAGACTGTTTCCACCTTTTGGGTATTATAAATAGTGCTTCACTGGGCATTGGTGTACTAGTCTCTTTTCTGAGTCTCTGAATTTAAGTCTTTTGGGTATATATACCTATGACTGGAATTGCTGGGTCATATTTTTAGTTTTTTGAGGAACTGCCACATTTTTCCACAGTGGCTATACCATTCCTATTAGTAATCGATAAAAATCCCAATTTTCCCATATTCTCACCAATATTTGTTATTTTCTTTGGTTTCTTTGTTTGTATGGTATGTTTTTAAAGATCCTATGAGTTGGAATTGATTCAGTGGCAAAGGGTTTTTCAGTTTAAGTCTTCTTAGTATCTTAGCCATCCTAGTAGGAGTGTAATGGATCTCACTGTAGTTTTAATTTGCAGCTCTCTTATAGCTAATGATGCTGAGCATCTTTTCATGTGTTTAGTGGCCATTTGAATGTCCTCTTTGGTGAAATGTCTACTCAAGTCCTCTGCCCATGTTATGACTGGGTTCTTTTTCTTTTTGTTAACTTGTCAAAGTTTTATATATATTTTGGTTATTAGATTCTTATTAGCTAATATATAGTTTCCAAAGATATACTTCTAGTTGGTAGCTTGTCTTTTCATTTTCTTAGTAAAGTCTTTTGATGGACATAAGTTTCTAATTTTTATAAGGTACCATTTATTTATTTTCTCTTTTGCATTTTGTGCTTTTATTATATTAGATAATCCATTGTTAAAAGCTAATCCTGACAGCATTGCCTGTGCATTTTCTTCTAAGAATTCTGTGGTTTTAATTTGCATGATTAGGCCCTTAATTTTGAATTTTTTTTTTTTTCTGTATGGTGTGAGACAGGGATTCTGTTTCATTTTCTGGCATGGGGAAATTCAATTTTCCCAGCACCATTTATTGAAGAGACTCTTCTTTCCCCATAGAATGGACTTAGCACCCTTGTCAAAAGTCAGTTAACCATAGATGCATATTTATTTCTGGACTCTCTATTCTATTCTGTTGGTCTATCTGTCTATTGTTATACCAATACCAGGCTGTTTTGATTATTGTAGCTGCACAGTATTTTTTATTTATTTATTTTTTTTTTTGCAGTGTTTCCTCTCTTCCCTTCCCACCCCTGGTAACCAACAATGAAAGTTTCCTTCCATATATAACCTTTCCTTGACTTTTTACAATAATGAACTAATAAAATATTTGTCCTTCAGTGATCAACTTATTTTACTCAGCATAATGTCCTCCAAATTTATCCATGTGATGTGGTGTTTTTCAGATTCTACATTATTCTTTAGTGTTGTATAGTATTCCATTCTGTGTATGTACCATAGTTTGATAATCCATTCTTCTGTTGATGGGCACCTAGGTTGTTTCCCTCTTTTTGGTATTGTAAATAGTGCTGCAGTGAACATGGGGGTGCATATATCTGTTCTTGTCTTGACTCTCACTTTAGGATATATACCTAGTAATGGGATTGTTGGATCAAATAGTATTTCTAATTCCAACTTTTTAAGGAAGCACCATACTGCCTTCCACAGTGGTTGTATCACTTTACAGTCCCATTAGCAGTATATGAGAGTCCCAATCTCTCCACATCCTTGCCAGCATTTGTTATTTTCTGTCTTGTTGAACCTTGCTATTATTGCTGGGGAAAGATGGTATCTTGTTGTTTTGTTTTGCATCTCTTTAATGGATAATGATCGTAAACATTTCTTTATGTGTTTGTTGGCCGCTGGAATATCTTCTTTGGTGAAATGTATATTCATGTCTTCTGCCCATTTTTGAATTGGATTGTTTGTCTTTTTGTTGTTGAGGTGTTGGAGTTTTTAAAATAAATTTTAGAGATAAATTCCTTGTCAGATACATTGGTAAAAAATATGTAGGTTCTCTTTTTACTCTTTTAGAGAAGTCTTTGGAAGCACATAAAAATTTAATTTTTAGAAGGTCCCATTCATCTAGTGTATCTTCTGCTGTCTGTGCATTTTGGATTATGATTGACAGTCTATTTATGCCATATATGAGGGCCCCTAAATTTGCCCCTAGTTTTTCCTAGAAGAACTTTATAGTTTTAGGTTTCACATTTAAGTCTTTGATCTATCTGGAGTTAGTTTTTGTGTATGGTGTGAGGTATGGATCTTGTTTCCTTTTTCTG